AATGTGTGTAGTAGTGTGTGGCCAATATGTACAGCAATATGTTTAGTAGTGTGTGAATGTATGTACAGTGTGGGTAGTAGTACGTGTGTACCTGTCATTTCTGAGTTGACAATTCAGGCTCCAGTTATATCACTGTGTTCAGTCTGTGGAGGCCGGGCCATGCATAGATCACTGTGTTCAGTCTGAAGGGGCGGGGCCATGCATAGATCACTATGTTCAGTAAAAAGGGTTGTGGCCATGCATCGATTTCTGTATTCAGTCCGGGGGCGGGGCCATGGATAGATCACTGTGATCAGTCTGAGGGGGCGGGGCAATGCATAGATCACTATGTTCAGTAAAAAGGGGTGGGGCAGAGCCAGATTAAGAGCCCAGTGGGCCTGGTGCTGACAATTATGACGGGCCTAATTACAGAATCATATCGACCAAAAACAGTAAAACACTCCCAAGCGTCATGTATCTGATGGAGATTGTGCTGGAGAGAAAGAAAACAGCAGCTATAAGAAAACACATACCCCAGGCTAATCTCGCTCTAATTTATGTTTTCATCTTTCAAGTAAATCCATAACCCCTAACAGCAGTGTCCAGTCAAGCAGGAAGTCAATGGGCACGGTAAAAGGGTGTGCCACTGACACAAATCACGTAACCTGCCAAAAGGGGCAAACATGCCCAAAAAGAGGACATGTCTGCTCAAAGAATTAGAAGGTCAGCCTGGCATGAATGCATGTCAGGCTGCCTGCCAATCATGCAGCTGGCCAACTAAGGGCATACTATGCAGACAGCACCCTGAGCTTCGCTTAAATGCATCTAATGATGCGCACACTCAACGCTTTCTAAGGACTGTCCCCTAGCACTCGCTGGTCCACTTGTCTCCTTAACTTCTTACTAGCAGGCAGAAGCTCCTGGTATATAGTCTGGGACGGAGAAAAGCTGTATGTAGTGAGTGTAGAAGAAAGGGAACATGCCACGGTGTTAGAGAGACCAAAGTCAGCATTACCTTAAAGGATCACTATAGGGTCAGGAACACAAACATGAATTCATGACCCTATAGTGTTAACACCACCATCTAGCCCCCCTGGGCCCCTCGTGCCTCCATAAATATAGAAAAATACTACTATATTCAAGCCTGAAGCTGTAACTCTGCATGCTGTTAGACTCACAAAAACAAGCAGTCTGCTGACATCAAGTGGTGGCCTGATCCAATAACAGTGCTTCCCCATAGGATTGGCTGAGACTGACAAAGAGGCAGATCAGGGTCAGAGCCAGCATGATTCAAACACAGCCCTGGCCAATCAGCCTCTCCTTATATAGATGCATTTAATTAATGAATCTCTATGAGGAAAGTTCAGTGTCTGCATGCAGAGGGAGGAGATACTGAATGTTTGGATGCATTTTAGGCAGCCATGACCCAGGAAGGATCTCTAACAGCTATCTGAGGAGTGGTCAGTGAAGTTATCACTAGCATGTAATGTAAAGACTGCATTTTCTCTGAAAAGACAGTGTTTACAGCAAAAAGCCTGAAAGTAATGATTATACTCACCAGAACAAATTCAATAAGCTGTAGTTGTTCTGGTGACTATAGTGTCCCTTTAACTATATTCATTGTCAGCCAGTCCACACAAGTTTTGTTCCCATACATCCCTCTTCAGTTTCCATACTTAAGTAAGAGTATGTGAAAAGTAGTTAGGGTTGCCACCTTTCTTAGAAAAACATACCAGCCTTACTAATTTGCATAATTAAATATGTGTGGGTGACATCACATGATGTAAATCACAAGGAGTGACATAAGAGAAAATGCTGTAAAATCACCATAAAACTACTTAGTTTAAATCTGCTGTACAGATGGATTCATCCCAGTGCCCCCATGTCTCCCAGTGTCCTCATGACTCAGTGCCCCCATGTGTCGATTCCTCCAGGTCTCAGTGTTCCTATGTATCAGTGTCTCAGTGCTCCATGTCTCCCAGTGTCCACTAGTGTCGTGTCCCCAGGTCTCCCAGTGATCCTATGTATCAGTGTCTCAATGCCCCATGTCTCCCTGTGTCCCCAAATATCACTAGGAAGACTGGGAGATCTGGGGACACGGGGAGACCTAGGGACACGGAGACACCAGTGACACTGGGAGACTAGGGGACTCTGGCTGGGAAAATAGGGGACGCTTGAAGACATGGGGACACAGACACCAGGGACAAAGACACTGGAGACACTGGCTGGGGGACTATGGGGACATTGAGACATGGGGGCCGTAGAGACACTAGGGACACTAGCTTGGGGACATTGTGACACTTGAAGCACTGAGAGACATGGAAGCACTAGGAGACATGGGGACAGTGAGACACTGGCAGACTGGGGGCACTGTGTCCCCATGTGTCTGTGTCATAATGTCTCCCAGTGCCCCTTAGTGTCTCAGTGTCTGCCATAACGTCTCCCAATGTCCCTTAGTGTCTCAGTGCCTGCCATGACGTCTCCTAATGTCCCTTAGTGTCTCAGTGTCTGCCATAATGTCTCCCAGTGTCCCTTAGTGTCTCAGTGTCTGCCATAATGTCTCCCAGTGCCCCATAGTGTCTCAGTGTCTGTCATAATGTCTCCCAGTGCCCCTTAGTGTCTCAATGTCTGCCATAATGTCTCCCAATGTCCCTTAGTGTCTCAGTGTCTGTCATAATGTCTCCCAGTGCCCCTTAGTGTCTCAGTGTCTGCCATAACGTCTCCCAATGTCCCTTAGTGTCTCAGTGCCTGCCATAACGTCTCCCAATGTCCCTTAGTGTCTCAGTGCCTGCCATGACGTCTCCTAATGTCCCTTAGTGTCTCAGTGTCTGCCATAATGTCTCCCAGTGTCCCTTAGTGTCTGTGTCTGCCATAATGTCTCCCAGTGCCCCTTAGTGTCTCAATGTCTGCCATAATGTCTCCCAATGTCCCTTAGTGTCTCAGTGTCTGACATAATGTCTCCCAATGTCCCTTAGTGTCTCAGTGTCTGCCATAATGTCTCCCAGTGTCCCTTAGTATCTCAGTGTCCCCATGTCTCCTTGCAGCCTGTCCCCCCATCCCTCACTTCCCTGAGCTGTAGGCTGTCTCTGCATGGTGGGAGTTGCTGTCTGGACTCTCTGTAGCTGCACCCCTGCAGATCAGTGAGTAGAGGCAGGGAGGGATATGCTGGAACTTCCTATCCCTGCCTGTCTCCACACACAGTGACCCCTACTGGCCAGTGCTGGTATTGCATAGTAATCTCTTGTTTATACTGAGAAAAATACCAGTATTTGTATTGCCAGTATCACTGTAATATTGGCACCAGCCAGGCAGCCTCAAATACTGGCTGTGCCAATAAAATAAAAGCCAGGTGGAATACCTAAGAGTAGTGTGTGGAAAAAAAAATGTAACAAAAAAAAAAAAAGTTTTTTATTTTATTTTATTTTTTAAATCAATGGGCCTATCCCATGGGCCTGGGCCTGGAGCTGCAGCTCCATCAGCCCCTATGTTAATCCGGCCCTGCACCGGGTGGGGCCATGCATAGATTTCTGTTTTCTGTCCGGGGGCGGGGCCATGGATAGATCACTGTGATCAGTCTGAAGGGGCGGGGCCATGCATAGATCACTATGTTCAGTAAAAAGGGGTGGGTCCATGCATAGATTTCTGTATTCAGTCCGGGGGCGAGGCCATGCACAGAGCACTGTGATCAGTCTGAGGGGGCGGGGCCATGCACATATCGCTGATCAATCTGAGTGGGCGGGTCCATGCACAGATCATTGTGTTCAGTCTGAGGAGGCGGGGCCATGCACAGATCACTGTATTCAGTCTGAGGGGGCGGGGCTATGCACAGAAAGCTGTGTTTAGTCTGATGGTGCGGGGTCATGCAAATATCGCTGTGTTTAGGCTGAGGGGGTGGGGCCATACACAGATAA